TAAAGTGATATACATATTATACATGTTATGTAACTTTCTTTCATATTTGCTAACAATGCTTGAACTTCTAGATTTTTAATCCAAAAAGTGCAAGATGATCCTTATTTTGGAACATTCCATATTCCTGCCAAACTATAGTTGGTATTTTACCAACATGTTGTTGTATCTCATTTTTGTCTTTAAAAATCTGCAAACTACAACAATCTTCTAAAATTTTTTGTAAAACAAAATAAGTCTCCGAATTATGATATATTATTAAAGATGATATGTAACCAGATCTTGTATAAAAAAGATTTTCTTGCAAAGAATTTCCAATTTTTGAAATAACTACAGAAAATTTTTCAATCTTTATATATAACAGAAAAAATGAAATATCAGTTAGTAGTTCTGATATAATTTGCTCATTATAAAACCCAAATACTACTAGTTCAGAATATTCTATTTGATTTTTAACCAATTTTTTATACATTAAGTTGATAGCAGTTGAAGGTGTATCTTGGATATTACTAATTTTTTCACCCACAGAGCATAAAATCCTGGTTGTAAGGGGTTAGAAGGTCTATTAACTATAGATAAAATAAAATTATAATCATGTATTTGGATTAATATGCTCATATAAAGATGAAAAGGAAGTGTTAAGATCTTATTATTTGTAATTTTTAGATTTGGAGTCCACCAATCTCGTGTATATGGTCCATAATAAAGATTTGAGTTTATTTGATCTTTGTTTATAAGCTTTACTATATATTTTCGATTTTTTGACATTTTGAAATGACAAATATTCACTATTTTCAGTAATAAGTAATTTTATTATTAAATACCTGCCATATATTACTATTAAATATTGATCATTTTGTACTTGTGATCTGCGATCTACCCTTTAAGTTATTTTTTTTGACCCTTTCTAACTTAGCAAAAAATATAAAAAATGTTATTTTTGTGAAACCTTCTCTCCTCTTTTTTATAATATTATTTATAGATATCTCTAATTGCAGCAAACCAAGAAGCTCAAATTTGAAAATAAAAAAAGAAAAAAATCTAAAAAGAAGAAACAAGTAAACCAATAAGACAAAAAATATTATAGTAAAAACAAAAAAAAATATCAAAGTATTATAAAAA